CCCCCCAAAAAAAACCCCCCAAAAAAACAAAAACAAAAATCATTTCAATTAAAACAGAAAGTCTGCACTTCAATCGCGTATTCATAGAGTTAAAGTCCACTGTTGCGTCTTTGTCCATTAATTATGATTCTAACTGTGAAAGCCCCCTACAGTGTGAGTCTATAGTGGCAAATCTGAAGAATGAGTCAGAGTCATCGAATCCAGTTTTATCAAAAAGGAAAGTTTTAAGTCTAATCTTTGAAAATAGAAATGTGTGTCTCTAGCAATCAAACTGGGATCTGGGTCCACAGAAAAAGGGCTCTGAGAGGTGAAGGCTCTGCCTCCCATTCTTCTTTTGGATTCTAAGAACTGCGAATAAGCCTCTTAGGGTAGTGTAATACACGTTTTAACACAGCCCTTGATCATTCAAAACTTTGTGAGGGGTAAGATTTTCAAATCAGATCTGGATTTAACAGGGAAAAAGTAAAGAGAAGGTAATATCTGCGAAATATGGTGTTGCTTTCTAGTCCCTGTCAGTACTTTCACTGCAGCATTTTGGATCAACTGAAGCCCTTCTGGGGAGCTTTGAGAACAGCCTGACACTGTTTTCCAGCATCACTCTGATACAGGATGTTTTTACTTTTAGCAGTATTGCACAGATGAAATCATGCCTCAGTCTGTGCTTTGAGGGTTCTGGCAGTCAGTACAGCACATGGGTGCTGATTTATTTACATGAATATATTCTTCCATCTGCAACTAAGTTTCTGTAAGACAAAATAAAGCAACACGTTGATCAGCTATTTAATCACTCATTAACTAAAGTTTTGTCATGTAGTTTAGTAAGTTAATTGTTCTGAAAAGGTGTTACAGCTTTTCTTTGTGAATTTTTTATGGTTTACTCCTTTTGTTTAGGTCTTTATGTAAGGTGGCCTGGAAGCAGACACAGGTTTTATGGGGTAAAGGTTTTGGTGTGACAAGAGGAGGAGAAAACTACAGAGAGACGTGTAAGACTGCATCTCAGCGCCAGATAATCATGTTTATAGAGGTTTAATCAAGCCATATTTATGAAACACTGGCACAAGTTCAATAAGGAACACTCTTAAAACTGTAGAGATGACAGTGGACTTCAGGAGACATCCCTCAACTCTGCTCCCCCTCACCATATCAGACAGCCCTGTGTCGACTGTGAAGATCTTCAAGTTCCTGGGTACAACCATCTCCCAGGACCTGAAGTGGGAGACCAACATCAACTCCATCCTCAAAAAGACCCAGCAGAGGATGTACTTCCTGAGACAACTGGGGAAGTACAGTCTTCCACAGGAGCTGCTGATCCAGTTCTACACTGCGGTCATTGAGTCTGTCCTGTGCTCCTCCATCACAGTCTGGTATGGAGCACTAGACAGCGTGCAGCGGACTGTACGGGCAGCAGAAAGGATCATCGGCGCCCCCCTGCCCTCCATCCAGGATCTGTACCTCTCAAGAACCAGGAAACGGGCAGGGAAAATCATCACAGACCCCTCACACCCTGGACACAGACTTTTTGATCTGCTGCCCTCTGGCAGACGGTACAGAAGCCTGCAGACCACCACCTTATTCATTTCTGTATTTTATGTATATAAGTTTAGATTAGTTATTTATAGTTGGTTTACACAGCTTTGTGTATGTATGTGTATGATATATAGACACGTGTGTGTGTGTGTGTGTGTGTGTGTGTGTGTGTGTGTGTTTGTGTGTGTGTGTGTGTGTGTGTGTGTGTGTGTGTGTGTGTGTGTGTGTGTTTTACATTGCTGTGCTTGAGAGCCACCATCTACCGGAACCAAATTCCCTGTATGTGTCTGCACATATACTTGGCCAATAAACACGATTCTGATTCTGATTCTATATTCACTAGTCTGTCTGCTTTCCCAGGTGTTTAGCTGCTAGTCTATTCATTACATGACTAACACATTCCCATGCTGTAAAACTCAATGGTGACATCATTGCTTCTTCCTGCCCGCAAGTCACTTCATCGAAGCCTCCAGCATCTAACTCTGGAGAGTCCTGCCCTAATTTTTTATCACCGTTGAGATTTCATTCTGCTGTGGGCCATCAGAGTCTAATCGGCAAATAGCATCATAATTCTGTAGATCAATAAATCATTTTCAATTCCTTCTAATGATTTCTCTCTATTGAATTAGATTTGCTTGACCACCTAAAATTGGATGAATACCATCTCCAGAAAGACTGGAGAAGTATAAAGTTTGCACTGTTTTAAGCAGTTGAGGGATGACATGTGGCTATAAATGCAATCACTGTTCAGATCAGGGGTCAGATTGCTTGAAACGTGTAATGTATCAACACAGCTTTGTTTATGGAGGGAGTGGTGTTAAAAATATCTAAATCTAAAGTCTTTGAGTCATCTTTATCTACACAAGATGTTCTCTGTGCTCACTGCATAATCCATTTGTGCTTTAAAAAGTGCAGAGTTATGAATTACTCTTTCTTTAATTAATTCAACAAAAATGGGCATCCTCAATGGGATCCAAGTAAAAAATGTTCACTATGTTGCCAAAAGTATTCCCTTGTCTGTCTTTACACTTATGAACTTGAGCAATATCCCATTCGTAATCTATGGGGTGCAATAAAACATCAGCCCACCTTTTGAAGCTATAACCGCTTCAGCTCTTCTGGGAAGGCTTTCCACAAGGTTTAGGAGTGTTTATGGGAATTTCTGACCATTCTTCCAAAAGCACATTTGTGAAATCAGACATTGATGTTGGATGAAAAGGCTTGGCTTGCAGTCTCCCCTCTAATTTATCCCGAAGGTGTGCTGTCGGGATGAGGTCAGCACTGTTGTTGAAGACCGGCCCACACAAACTCCCTCATCTCTCTATGGACCTTGCTTTGTGCACTGGTGTGCAGTCATGTTGGAACAGGAAAGGGCCATACCAAAAACCGTCTCCACAAAGTTGGGAGCTGAAATTGTTCAAAATGTCTTGGTATGCTGAAGAACTTCTTCCACTGAAAATGAATGCCCGAGTCCAGCTCCTAAGAAACAACCCCACAACAAATTCACCCCTCTACCACACTTCAACTTGGCACAATGAAGTCAGACAAGCACTGTTCTCCTGGCAATCTCTGCAATCATCCATCAGTTTACCAGATGGAGAAGCCTGATTCGTCACACCAGAGAACACTTCTCCACTGGTTGTGTGCTTTACACCACTGCATCTGACGCTTTGCATTGTGTTTATTGATGTAAGGCTTGGATGGAGCTGCTCAGCCATGGAAACCCATTCTATGAAGCTCTTTAAACACTGTTCTTGAGGTTATCTGAAGGCAACATTAAAATTTGGAGGTTTGTAGCGACTGACTCTGCAGAAAGTTGGTGACCTCTGCACACTATGCACCTCAGCAATGGCTGACTCTGCTCTGTGAGGGTCAGCAGATGGCCTACCACATCGTCGTTACAATGCTGTTGTTCCCAATCACTTCCAGTTTGTTATAATGCCACTAACAGTTGACTGTGGAAATTTCACAACTAGGCACATGCGGCATCCTATCACAGAGGTCCTGAGAGAGACCCGTTCTCTCACAAATGGTTGTAGAACGGAAATTGAAAAAGATGAAAAAAATGGACAGGAAGATTTCTGAACAGAAATTTCAGGTTCAATAATCAGATCGTAGAGTCACAACTGAGCATAAACAACATGAAAGCACAGATCCATCCTGCCTTGTATCAATAGTTCAGACAGGCTGTGGTGGTGTAACTATGTGGCGTATTTTCTTGCCACAGTCTGAGCCCCTTAGAACTCTCTGAGCATCACTTCACATCTGATTTTTTCAACATGACAATGAGTTCATTGTACTCAAAGGGCCTCCACAGTCACCAGATCTCAGTCCAACAGAGTACCTTTGAAAGCAGGTGGCACAGGAGACTTTTATCATGGGTGTGCTGCCATCACATCTGCAGCTAGCATGTCAATATTTACCCAACTCTTCAAGCACTTTGATGGATTGGAGCGATGGATTACAGCAGCACTGAAGGCAAAAGGAGTCCTACTTGTTACAGTGTACCTAATAAAGTGGCCGGTATGTGTATGTCAGTGTAACATTACTCTACAAAGGAAAAACATACTTTTTGAAACAAACATTACAATAAAATAAAATAAAAAATTGATGATATATTCTTTTGGTCAGACTGTCGGTGATGTCAGTGATTAACAGTCAGTGTTTTAGTATTTACCATAAAGTCCTTGCTTCACTAATGACAACCATTTGGGGGCAGTATTACACTAGATTTAATCAAAAATACTGTCAGGAGAAAATCACAACACCAAAATACATGATGGACATTTTTAAAGCTACTAAAGGTATAACTTTCATAATAAAATGATACATGACGCATGATAGCATCTGTTAGATCCGATGCTATGAATTATGAGTTAAAACTGCTGCAAGAGAAATGAGTGTAACTCATGTAAAGAGCCCTAACTTGAAAAGAACACAAAGTCATCGAGTCTTTTTTTTAAAAATTATGTTCCTAATACGTGATGTTTCTGCTGCTGATCTATCTGAATTAAACTTGTGTGATGTACAGCAAATACGGTCCTTTCACTTTTGCAATTTGAATGTGGTAGAAAGTCTGTGCCAAAAACCATTTTGGCTCCAAAGCCCCTTCAATAACAGAAATAAAAACACAACATGAAATTCTTTAAATTATTTTTAAATTGACATGTTTTGTCTTTTAAAAGTGCAGCAATTTCAAAGAGTTTTACAATCCAGATCAAGTCAGTGATTTACCAGAAACCATTGCATACAAAATGCTAGAATACAGACGCTGTAGTTGAGCCTTTTAAAGATGTACAATAAAAGACTTGTTGTACTTAGAAATGTGACCCCATTTCTCTGTTTTATGGAAGCAGACACTCTTTTACAGAAATTAGAGCTTTCACCTGACTGGACTTGGATAAGCCACAACACATTCTCAAGTAGAAAGGTAATAGATAATTGAAAGAGAACAAAAATTAATAAAAACAAAGTGAGCAAACACTTGGTTCCAGTCAAAATGCCACACATTTTTTGAGATTTTAAATCTTTTAAGGCCCATTCCAAATAAAAAGGACCAAATCCGAAAAGAAAAAGCTGCTGAAAAATTGCATGGCCTCATTAAATATTTGAAAGTTATTGTAAAAACGAATTCTAAGGTGGTCAGTGGGAGGCACTGATTTACTTAGCATAGTAAATGATTTGTTTTTTATTTCCATCCATCCATCCATCCATCGTCATCCGCTTTGTCCGGGGTCGGGTCGCGGGGGCAGCAGCCTAAGCAAAGAGGCCCAGACCTCCCTCTCCCCAGCCACCTCCTCCAGCTTGTCCGGGGGAATACCAAGGCGTTCCCAGGCCAGCCGAGAGATATAATCTCTCCAGCGTGTCCTGGGTCTGCCCCGGGGCCTCCTGTTTTTTATTTCGGTTTCGAAATTCGCCGTTACTTGAAAATCCAGAAAGTCCGTTGCAGAGTAGACAGTGTAGCTTACAGAGTTGTTTCTTGAGCTCTGGCATCATTATGGGAAAATATACAGATTAAAATGTGAGCAGTACTTTTTGTTTCAGCTGTTTTTACTTTTACTTTGAATGACAGATTATTTCTTAATTCTTCCACTGGTTTAGTCGTTAATAATGAGAAACTTCAGCAGCACTGAGATGTCAGAGGGAGAGACAATTATGGGAAATTCTGCTTCAACAGGTCGCCACAGTGGGATGAAACATCTTAGTCCGTAGTGCTCTGTGTAGCTGGAGCAAACTAGCTAGCAGGCTAATTGTTTTTGAAATTGCACTGAATGACTACTGCAGTCATTTGAAAAAGTTTCCACAGTACGATACTACATACATACAACAGTTGTAGAGCCACCTATAGCACCAAAAACGTCAGGTAATTGCTTCTATATGGCTTTATAAGTCTCAACTGTTCTTCTACAAGATTGCTTCAGTTAATTGAGGTTTGCAAACATTCATTAATGCACAGAGTTGACTGGACTGGACTTCTAGCATCTTGGGATCACTGTCCTGTTGCGTGGCCCAGTTTAAGCCAAACTTTAGCTGTCTGACAAAGTCTCACATTTCACTGTAGAATACTTTGGTATACAGAGGACTTTGTGGTCAACTCAGTGACTGGAAGGTGTCCAAGTCCCTTGACTGTAAAACAAGTCCCGCTAATCTCCCCTCCAGCACTGTGCTTTGTGGTTGGTTTGAGGTATTTGTGCTGATATGCTAGTTTCTGCCACAAACATGGTGCTGAGCTTTATGGTCAAACATCTCCACTTTGGTCTCGTCTGACTACAGGACATTGTTCCAGAAATTTTGTAGTTTGTTCAGATGTAACCTTGCAAACCTAAGGTGTGCTGCCATGTGCTTTTTTAGGGATAAGAGGCTTTCCTTCTAAACAAAACATATTTGTTCACCTTTTGCCTAATTGAGCACTGCACATTCTGAACTTGGAGGGAAATTTGCTGGGAAGATTGTAGCAGTGCATTAACACACACAACTGAACGCTTCAAACAAGCAAACTGCTACAACTTCTGCATTTGATGAGCAGCATCTGCTCACCTCTTACCATCTTAAAAGTGTAGAGGAACGTGGATGTGTTTAATTCAGACGTATTTAAGCATCTCTAAACAATCTGATTAAATCACTCTGTCATTTACCGTAATCTGTAAAATAAGATGACAATTCAGTTACTTTTTCCTTTTTAAGGAGATCTGAGGCACTTAACTGTGGGAGTTAGTAATCGCTTTTTCAGTTTCTCATCCATGAATTTGCTAATAACTACCTCTTCTTTTACAGTACTTCATTAATAGTTTTTATACAGTGTCCCAACTGAGAACCAACACAAAATAGAGGCCCAGGAGGATGCAATCAAACAGATGATTATTGAACACACGCGTGGGAAGATGAACACTGCAAAACATCAGATGTAGATCTCCGCCCAAAAATACACTTCAGATTGCTTTTATAACGTCAGGGTTGGTTAACGCCCCTTCTCGCGTTGTACAAGAACATAATTTGTATTTTAAGAACATCATTTGCATGTTTTATAGACAATGAGCAATCTTAAGAGATAAATGCAGACTCTGAAGTTCCCCTCTCTAGCATCTTCTCCAAATATGGCGATGGATTCAGGCTCTGATGTTGATGTCCTCCTTTTTGGCCCATCTTCTGTCACCTGTTACTAAGCAAACTCAGATGCAACAAGAAGCCGGATACATTCAGGCCTTCACTCAAGCCCGTTTCTAGATTATATGTATTATATGTGTTTTGTAAGCGTGTACGCAGTTTTAACCTTCTGTTGCTCCAAGTCACTTTTACAATAGATTGTCTGGACATCGCACCAAACAAAGCTTGAGACCTTCGATTGACTGAGCAGAATACACTTCTTAATAAGCACAAGATGCAATGTGTATAAAATGGTCTTAGCTGTACCTGTAGTAAAAAGGTTAATGTAATGCCAACAGCTTCAATAAATGTTTTACTGAAATGATGATTGATTTGATTAATGCAATGGTAATAATGATGAGTATGAGTAGCAGTAAAATATTTCCCTTATTCCACAACAGTATCTAAATTTCTTCTCAGACACATTATATACTCCTCTAGCTTTATTGAAACACTTTGACGTTCCTTGTTGTTCTGTCTGAAATAAAACAAGTTTAAAAGATATAAACTGTTTTAACTGTGGAAAGACAATCTTCGTTTTTTTGGACAAATTGTCGCTCGGTGGAGTCACTGCCTTCATGAACAAGTTTGTTCCTGTCTTTCACTTTTGTCACTGAGCTGAGCAGCAGTCTCAAACCACAGCTTCTCCACCTGCTCCTTTCCTAACTCCCAGAGCTGCTGGAGAATGTTAACACCCTTTCTGGATGAAATCATCAGATACTCTTCATTTTCTGGGTGCAAGGTCAGAGAGTAACGACCTAAAACTAAGGACTGGCAAAAGCGGGACAGCACCAGCAAATATAGACAATCTTTCTCCACCTCATTGAGAGGAAGGACGCTTTCCCAGCCAGCAAGGACGGGTCCACCCACCTCGATGGGTTTAGGGTGCTCAATCATCATGTACATGACGGTGATTGCAAGCTCATGGATGTAGTAGCCACTATTCATGTCGCCAAAGTCCAGAATACCGGTGATCCTATAGCCTTCTTTATCATTAGGCTGTACCAGGACATTGAGGTCATTGAAGTCGCCATGGTTAATGCCTTTAAAAAAGACATTTGAAAAATGTATTTGTAAAATCAAAAATCACTACATACAATCAGCCAATGAAAAGCCAAGACAAGGTAATCAAGAAGTACAGTGCAAACTGTATGAGCAGCTCTCTGATAAACAGTTACTGGTCTTTAACCTTCACAGCTATGCTTTTATGACAATAAATATATTTTATGTTAAGTCATAAGCATGTAACTGATACATGTAACAAGATAATATTGTATACTCACATTTGCGAAAACTAGAGCGTTTGGGATCCACAGAGCTCTTGTACCCTTGGATTACAGACTTCACAACCTCCAGCAGAGGCTCTCCGTCTAACACATAGAGGTAATCTTCCAGGAGAGCAACATTTGACAGACTCCATTTGAACCCCTCTCTCTCCAGCACGTGAAGATGAGGGTGTTTCATCTTAAATTACACCAAAAATGCAAGACATGTGTAAATGAAAAATAACTGATACACACATGTATTCTGGGCGGTTTCACGAAATTCTCTCCCGAAGATTCACTGAAATTCTAACACAGAGTGGACGCCTTTAGAAGAGATTTCACAGGACTGTTACTATGATACCTTTTTAATGACTGTGTCCATTTTAGCTGCAGTTTTCCCCATTTCATACAGCAGCTGTGGAGTTAAAGGAACCTTGGAGATGGTTGTCCCAGGCAAATAGGTCAACAGTCTCACCAGGTACTTCTGACTGCCAAAACCACAATCTGCCAAAAGTAAGGATATGAATAATTATAGGCTTCAATAAACTTGAACATATATGGCAGAGCCCTGTTCAAGGGCACAGGCGTAACAATATTGCTAATTATGCAAACTTCCTTGTGTAAGATTGCCCTTTAGCCCTAAGCCAGGATGTGTTATTCTACTCCTGCAGATGCCAAGTTTGTCTGTGCCTTATCTTTACAGATTATCTGCAAAAGCAACCATTCAAAGGTCGAGTTCAACTACGCAGCACATTTATACTATGTCACAGAAACACAGTACTTATAATAAGCATGTGCAGTGTGCCAACATACTTAAGTAATGATGGAAAGTCTTTGGACACTGGTTCACTCATTTTCTGTCAATTTCAGGATTTTGTTTAGGGTCTAGGACCCACAATATCTGATCAGCCGTTAATGGCTGCATTTTGTGTTTCTTTGGTTATCTTTATCCAATAAAAATGTATTTGGTGATCTGGAACATTTAAATATAAAAAAATGATAAGAAATCTGGAAGGAGACAAAGATGTTCACAGCACTGTAACATAAAGAAGTCTCCAGTAAGCACACAAAGTCTTTTGGGGGCTTCGTAGTCCTAGGTTTAAATAACACTTTGACATGTTATCTTTAGATGTTACTGAAAAACAAACAATTTCTAATTATAATCACTTGTGATTCAACAGTGAATGTTTACAGGGAAATTGCTACAAAGCATTTTGACATCAGTCAGGAACAATTTGAGCCTGACTGACTGAACACCGAGTGCCAGGCTACAGTGACACAAGCTTCATCGTGCATGGATGAAATTTTATGTCATGTCAGGTAACGATATTTTTTCAGATCTGAACAACGTGGCTGGTCACATACCAATTTCCTCCAGACTCATTCGCTCTCCTGAGGTGTTGGGCAGCGCGGTTTGAGCAGGAATTCCATTCTGTTGTAGGAAGGACATGGTGTATGTCTGCACCTCAATCAGCAAGGTATTCTTGCTGTCCTCTGAGTTCATTATCTTTAGGATATACTCGCCACCCTCACTGGGCGCCACATAGAAGTTCTGGTCATCATAACTGGGCAGAGACTGAATCACTGATGCAGTCAGCCGGTAGAGCCTCTTCACAATCTCAGACACCTGGGAATGGCTTAAGTTGGGCTTGGCATTTTTTGGTGGCATTATTGCTGAAGAAAAACAACAAGCCATTAGAGAAGAGTTGCACTAATTTATAAAATCAACATCTTCACAAATTACAACAAATGCAACTGCAAAAAAAGTTAGAGTGGGAGAAACATTTCCTCTACCTGACTACCTGTTTTCATCTGCCTTTTACAGTGTTACAGTATTAATCAGGCACAATTCAATCATCGCCATGCTAAAACTGGTGAATCAGATCTTTTATGTGTTTTGTAACAATGATGTAAACTTCAGTCTTCATTATTAATGTTTATAGTTGAGCTGCACACATTTCTAGTCCTCAATAATAATAAAGGTGTTAACAGCAGAAGTGAAACTTGTTTGAGCGTAGAGCTGGGCGATATGAGATTTTTT